CCGACTCCACAAGCCGAAATTTCCTCCGACTCCTCGACTCCGACTCCGACTCCACAGCCCTGATATTAGGTACTCCTGAATGTGCTGCTTAAGGATCTGTTAACCAAAATTTGATATCTTGATTATAACTTGTTCAAATGGCTTTTAGAAAATGTTCAAATGATTTTTAGAATATTTTAATTACTTTTGCAATGCTAATTACTCGCCACTTATGGGTTTTCGAGGTCATTTCTTGGTGCTTGTGTATTATTCTGGATGTACTTAAATAGTTAGGCACATTAAATTTTAGTTCAGAGAGAAAACGTATTTTTGGCAAAAAATCCTTTAAGGCTATAGACTTACAATTTTCGTCATTTCGGCCAAAAAATGGATTTTGTTCAAAATTTCAGTATAGGTACTCCTGAATGTGCTGCTTAAGGATCTGTTAACCAAAATTTGATATCTTGATTATAACTTGTTCAAATGGCTTTTAGAAAATGTTCAAATGATTTTTAGAATATTTTAATTACTTTTGCAATGCTAATTACTCGCCACTTATGGGTTTTCGAGGTCATTTCTTGGTGCTTGTGTATTATTCTGGATGTACTTAAATAGTTAGGCACATTAAATTTTAGTTCAGAGAGAAAACGTATTTTCGGCCAAAAAATGGATTTTGTTCAAAATTTCAGTATAGGTATTCTCAGAATAGGACAGTGTGAGAGAAAGGCATTCCAAGTCGACTCAGCAATATAGAGCTAACCCACAAAGGCCCAGGCTCCCCTAATCACCTCACCAGAGTATCAATTACTCTCTCTTGACCCAACTACCCGAGGCCTTGTTATTATGGAGACGAGACGATTCGGTAAGGTCGAATATCCTGTCCCGATTAACCGAGATATGACCCCTAAATACCCTTACAAATGGTCTGTTTTATTTTTTTTTGCCTATTTTTGTACCTACTGGATTTTTTCCCTATCTGCTGGACTTTTTCCATGTCTATTAATTTTTTCCCTACCTACTGTGTTTTTTCCTACCCACTTGTTTTTTCCCTACCCACTTGTTTTTTCCCTACCCGCTTGTTTTTTCCCCTATCAATTATAAGTTTTCCCTAACTCTGTAGACTTTTTTCCCCTACCCATCTGAATTTTTCCCCACCCAACAAACATTTTTTACCCCACCACTTAAATTTATTTCTCTTACCCACTTGAAAAATTTTTTCTATCAGTTTCCTCTCCTAGATACAATTATTCCTCCCACTATTACCGGCTGCCTCGTCCAACTGAGGTGCTTCAATACCTCACCGCCACAGAGAGAATATTAAATTTTCCTTCTCACATTAGAGACAACCTCGCGCACCGGGAAATTGGCGGGGGATTTTTTTCGAGAATTAGGGAATTTTTTTGGTGGTTCTTATTTAATGTTATTCTTGTTGTTGTTGTTTTTTGTTCTTGGTTTAGTTGTTTTATTATTATTATTATTATTATTATTATTATTATTATTATTATTATTATTATTATTATTATTATTATTTATCATCAGGTGTATTTATATAGCGTTTAAATATATCAGTTACGTGATATAATTATAATAGTTGAAATACTTTTGTTTTACACTAAACTTTTCCCAATAAAGTAAAACTATCAATGATATTTTAAGAAAGTATTTAATATATAGTTTAAGTGTTTGTAATCATGAGTTATATTTACCCTCAAAAAAAGTTTAAATAGTTTTTCTATCTATTTAATCTTTACAAAGTTTATATAATTTCGTTTCCTTTTTCATGTTAGGTGATACTTTATTATATCCAAAGTATATAAAGTTTCTATATTTTTTAGTCTAACTTTTAGTATATTTTTCACACACTTATTAATTTGGTCAGTAATAGTTTGCTATATTTTAATGGTAGTGTTTATTACGTACTGTTTAATGTGATAATATGTGGCGATATTAATGGCCTTCAATTTACATATTTTGCCCTCAATAATTTTGCAACGCTACAGGATTTATATGGGTGTAATTTATTTTGTATTATGTAGTTTTTGTTGTTGTCTATTTTCTGTATTTTTGGGTTTTTTGTTATTGTTTTTGTTTATTTGTTATTTGTTATTGTTTATTATTATTATTGTTATTATTCGTGTTCATGAGTTAAAAAGACTGAGGTATTTTTGGGTGTATCAAGGGACACTGCTTAATTGCTCCGCCGCCATCACAGTTTAATGTCCTCTTGTTCCTGTGTCCAAATGTCCTTCAAGCCGATGTGTTTTGAGTTTTATTTTGGTGTTTGTGTGTTTGTGAGAGAGAGAGAGAGAGAGACATCAATACCCCCATCATGTGATGCTGTAACAAGTACAAACATCAACAAACATGACGTCATAAGCATCAACATCAACAAACATGACGTCACAAACATCAACATCACCACCCAATTGAAAAAAAAAATCATAAAAAAAACAAATGAGTATCGCATAAAATTCCCTGAATGCCGCCATAAATTGCCAACGTTTATTTTCGCTACCAATTCAATCAAATATTCATTAATTTCCGCCATCATAAACAAATATTAAACTCATTATTTTCACAAGAACTTAAAATAGCGTCCAGGAATCCGTAATATACCAGAGGTGTGAGCGAGGGTGCATGTATACGTATGATACTGCAGTGATTTGAGCCTTAGGGGAAGCGTTTGTTTACATGGGGACGGCGAGAGTGTTAGAACGCTTGCCTCTGATGCTTATAATCAAGGGGTTAAATGTTGGTATGTTAAATCTTACGTCTTCAAGGGTGAGTAAGAGATATTGATGATGATGATGAAAGGGAGATATTGATAGTAATAATAATGAAATATGATGATGGTGATACTATGATAATAACAATGAATAATATTAGCAATGAAAAGTATAATGATGAATTGATGATAATAATAGCCTAATAATATAAACTGCAACAACAACGACAACAACAACAACAACTACAACAACACAAAAACTACAGCAACAACAACAACAACACAACAACAACAACACAAAAACTACAACAACACAATAAGCTTTTTTGAGGGTGCGTCCTGGGGGGAGGCACGACTGGTGTCTGTTGCTTTTAACATGATTGGACGAGAGTGTGTGTGTGTGTCAGCCCGACAATGGTACAGGGCTTATGACATATCCGGGAGGAGGAGGAGAGAGGAAGGAAGAAGAGGAGAGAGAGTGTCCTCGCTCTCCTACACCACTCACATCTGTCTCCCCTCACACGTCCTCCCATTCTCACCCCTCCCTCACCCCCCCACTCACACCCCTACTCGCCACGCTTCAGTACACCACTCTCCTTCCCGCTTGTCATTCTGCTTCACTTACATTCTCATTTCCTCCTCTCATTCCTCTCCCTCACGTCTCCACTCACTTTCTCTGTTCCACTGCTTCTCCCCTCACTCCCCACCCCGGACCCCCACCCCCGAGCCTTACGTTTCCTCCTTTCCCCTCACCTCACTCCTCTCCATACCACACGTTCCACACACACACACACCAGCGGTCACAATTATCACACCTTGGTCAGGCAATTTAACAGACGTAATGGTGGCGATGGTGGTAGTGAGAGTGGTTAGTGGTGGTGGTTGATGATGATGGTGGTAGTGGTGGTAATAATATAGGAAGTTTGATTCCTCGCCACGTGTGTTGTTCCTGGTGACACACACACACACACACACACACACACACACACACACACAGGACTCTGGTAGCTCACTCCTTTATGCTCCGGGAGTTCAGTAAATTCCCTCCTTTGATCTTCAGCCGTGCCAGTGCCAGCCCAAGCAATCAGGAGCGTCTGGCGTTCACGTGTACGGGGAACTTTTGACAAGATATTATTTGTTATTGTTTTGACCGAGAATTATGTTGTTGTTCTGTGTGTGTGTGTGTGTGTGTGTGTGTGTGTGTGTGCTGATGAATAACATATATATATTGTACACACGTTGAGGTAATCTGTCACTGTAATTGGCTATCTATCTATCTATGTGTCTGTCTGTCTGTCTGTCTGTCTAACTATCAACCTATCTGTCTACAACGTAATAAGAGAGATAAGACAGACAGACAGACAGAGGGAGACAAAGACAGAGACAGACAGAGGAAATATCAACATTCAGTGGGACTAGGGAACTATTATTGTCCTTATGAAAAAAACAAGATTCAGTGGTATAAAGTGCTTTTGTGTGAGTCATTATCGACAAGTGGAGACCCTAACACCCCTCATTGTAATTAGGTCCTCTCTCTCTCTCTCTCTCTCTCTCGTTTTAAGTGGAGGGAAGATAAAGAGGAAGAGAGGGTGGGGAGAAGAGTAAGAGAGTGAGTGGGAGAGATAAAGGAGGAGAGGGAGAGGGATAGAGAAAGGGGAGATAGATAGAGAGAGGGGGAAGGGAGAGAGATAGAGAGAGGGGAGAGAGATAGAGAGGGACAGGAGAAAGATAGAGGGGAGGGGAAGATAGAGGGGAGGGAGAAGATAGAGAGGGAGGAGGGATAGAGAGAGGAAGAGGGATAGAGAGGGAGAGGGAGAGGGATAGAGAGAGGGAAGAGGGATAGAGGGGGAGACAATATTTATCTCCCCGGCAGCTCTTAAATGTATTATTTCTGGATCATCAGCATAAACAGCAAAAGGGAGGTGAGGAGGAGGGGGAGAGGTGAGGAGGAGGAGGGAGAGGTGAGGAGGGAGGGAGGGGAGGTGAGGAGGAAGAGGTGTGAGGTGAGGAAGAGGAGGGAGAGGTGAGGAGGAGGAGGTGTGAGGTGAGGAGGAGGAGGGGAGAGGTGAGGAGGAGGAGGGGAGAGGTGAGGGTGGATGAAGGGAAGAGGTGAAGGGTGACGGGAGTGCTTGTTATCAATAAGAAGAAGAAGAAGAAGACCAATCGTAATAATAATAATATAATAATTAATAACAACAAAAATAATAGCAATAACAATAATAATAACAACAGTAACAATAATAACAACAATAGTAATAACATTAATATTAACAGCCATCATCTCTCTCCTCCACAGCAACATGGGGCTGGACTGCGGGACAGCGTTCGCCAAGTACCTGTTATGTTTCTTCAACTTCATCTTCTTCGTGAGTATTGTGTTAAAACTTACCTAAGCTTACCTAAGCTTAACTAGAGTTACCTAGAGTTACTGAAGCTTACCTAGAGTTACCTAAACTAATCTAAATTTACCTAGAGTTACCTAAAGTTACCTAGAGCTAACTAAGCTTACCTAAACTTACCTAAGCTTAACTAGAGTTACCTAAAGTTAGACCTAAACTTACCTAACCTTACCTAGAGTTACTGAAGCTTACCTAGAGTTACCTAAACTAACCTAATTTTACCTAGAGTTACCCAAGCTTACCTAAACTTGCCTAAACCTACCTAAAAGGGGAAGGGGAAGAGAAAGAGGAGTAGGAAGATGAAGAAGAATAAGAAGAGGAGGAGGAGGAGGAGGAGGAGGAGAAGGAAGGAAGGGAGAGGCACATGTGCGTCTGAACAATCTTTCCTACCGATCGACAGAACACAGACATACAGACTGACAAACAAACCTGCCGATACCAGGAAGCCGATTTTACCACCACAGCGACCAGGGGAAAAAACTCAGAACGCTTTCATTTCTTTCCCGATAACGTCGATAAGTCTTGTTAAGTGATGCTGAGGGAGGGGGAGAAGGAGGAGGGAAGGAAGGATGGAGGAATGGAAGAAGAAGGGAAGGAAGGAAGGGAGGGAGTGGAAGAAGGTGGTGGAGGGAGAGGGAAGGAAGGGGGAAAGAATCGAAAGACGGAGGAAGAAAGAGGGGGTGAGGGACTGAAGGAAGTTAACTACTGCTTTTTCTAGATCAAGGAAAGAGAGAGAGAGAGAGAGGGGAAAGACAGAGACAGAATTGAAAAGAAAGGGAATGAAGAAGGAAAGAAGAGAAAATGAACAGGTGAGATGAAAGGGAAGGGACACACGAGGAAGATAAACAATGGGACAGTCTTAGTGTGGACTCGGTCGATAGGAGAGGAGGGAAGGGAAGGGAAGGGAAGGGGCAATGAGTGCATCAAGTTGGGGACAAATCTGAGTAGAAGAAAAAAAAATCGGAAAAAAATTATAGCATTTTATTCAACTTTTCCTTCACAATTTCTTTCCACATCACTATTATTATTAGTTTTTATTTGTTTTATTCAAGTTTATTGTATTTTTGTATTGTTTGTTTTTTGTTTTTGTTTAGTTGTTGATTTTTCTGTGTTTGTCGAGAATGTACAAAAGTTCAGATGTGACAGTTCAACTTGTACCTGCTGACGCCATCACTCTTTGATTCCTACCAGTTCCTTCAGGCGTGAAATTTAATCCCTTTCGCGGTCGACCAGAGAGACCCAGTAGCCCCGACCAGACTGACCCAGTAGCCTCGACCAGAGAGACCCAGTAGCCTCGACCAGACTGACCCAGTAGCCTCGACCAGAGAGACCCAGTAGCCTCGACCAGACTGACCCAGTAGCCTGGACCAGAGAGACCCAGTAGCCAAGACCAAAGAGTCCCAGTAGCCTCGACTAAAGAGACCCACGAGCCTCGACCAGAGTGACCCACTAGCCTCGACCAGTAGCCTCGACCAATAGCCACTCACACTCTCAACATATTTCATCCAGACATCCAGAATAATTCCACTAATGGCCGCCTCGGTGTACAACGTCAGAAATGTACACGCCTAAAAATTACACTTTATACCTATGGCAAGAATTTCAATTGTTTTCATTCCATTTCAGATTATTTAGTTACCGGGTGAATGTTGTTTGTTGTTGTTGTTGTTTGTTTGTTTGTTTGTTTGTTTGTTTGTTGTTGAGGTTGAGTGGTAAATTAAATCTTTTTTTTTATAATTGTTTATTTAGTTTCTTTGTTGTTTTTATTTTTGAGGGGAAATTGTTTGGGTTTTGTTGTTTGGTTGGTGGTTTGTGTGTGTGTGTGTCTCTCTCTCTCTCTCTCTCTCTCTCTCTTCTTGTGCCATCTAGTTCAACTCTTACTCCAACAACACAGACACTTTTTCCCTTTCCTCCTCCTCCTCTTTTCCTCCTCCTTGTTCTCTTCTTCCTCCACCTCCTTCTCTTCTTCCTCCTCCTTGTTCTCTTCTTCCTCCTCATTTTCCTCTTTTCTCCCCCATCTATACACGTCCTTCCACCATCTTCTCCCTCACTTTCCTCCACCCTTCTCTCCTCTCCTTCATCCTCCTCCTCCACCCTTCTTCTCTCCTCCCCCAAACCCTCTATTAGCTTCCTTACTTCCTCACCATTCTCCACCTCTATCTCTTTCTTCCCTCATTTCCTCCCACTCTCCTTCTCCCTCACTTTAACCTCTCCTCGTCTCTCCTACTCATTATCCTTTATATACCTAACTTCCTTTTCCATCCTTTCCCCTCTCCCCTTCCTTCCTCTCCTGTCGTTTTCCCTTTTATCCTCCTCCTCCTCCTCTTCCTCCCCTCCTCTTCTTCCTCCTCTTCTCCTCCTCCTGTGTCCTCCAGTCTTAAAGGTGATGTTAGGTCAGGTATATAGGACAGGAACACACCCCTCCCACCCTTCCCACCTCTCCCACTCTCCCTCCCAGGCATCCCCACCAAACTCAATCACGACACAGCAAGATTAAACCCACAATATATATATTTTTTGTCCCCCTAGAGTCTCCCCTGAAATAGAAAATGCACGATTTATACTCAGGTTCACTGGGGGGGAAAAAATAAAGTGTTTCATGATCGTGTTTCCTATAAATCAGAACAGCATTATTTAGGTGTTTTGTTGAAAGTAAAGCGGGAGGGAAAAAAAAAACATCTGTCATTTGCATATGTGGATTTCCATATTTTAAAGCAGTGAAGTTTCCCCTGAAAAAGAAAATGTTTGGGTAATATTGATGCTGACTGCTGCAGGAAATGTATTTATTTCTGATATTATAACAAAAACAAAATACAACATTATTATTAAGTGTTTGACTGAAAACAATAGAAAAACATAAAGTAATTTGCATATGTTAATTATAGTATTTATTAGTAAGGTCATCCCCTGATAGAGAAAACACGTTATTGATAACTATATTCCTGGAAATTAGAGTATTAACTGCATATAATTCACAGAGAACAGTTTAATTATTATTATTATTATTATTATTATTATTATTATTATTATTATTATTATTATTATTATTATTATTGACTATTCAATTAATGTCAAAAAATAATAACTTTGTATGTGAATCCCTACATTTTTGATTAAGTCCCCTACCTAAAAGAAAATAAATGTTTATTACTGATATTCCCTTAGAAAAGAAAAGTGTGTGTCTGTGTGTGTGTGTGTGTGTGTGTGTGTGTGTGTGTGTGTGTGTGTGTGTATGCTAATATTTTTTGGTTCAGTTTCCCCTAAAAAAATTAAATGTTTGTATTAATACTTGTGTCACCTGGGATAACAATTGTGTTTACATTTCCTGAATAACAAAGATATTATTGTTTGTTTGTTTAGCTGAACGTGACAAAAACAAATGAATAGGTATACATGTGTCCATTTTAAAACGATATTATTATTATTATTATTATTATTATTATTATTATTATTATTATTATTATTATTATTATAGGATTTTCCTTTTATTCTGTTTCATTAAGGTATTTTCTTTGTTTTAATCATCAGCCACGAACCCGACTCCAAACCCGAACCCGAACCCGACTCCAAACCCGAACCCGAACCCGAACCCAAATCCAACTCCAACACCGGGGTTAATTTGATCACCAATATAACACGACTTTTCACCATCATCTACTTTCATATTCAACAGAAGCGTAACACCAATCATCCAGTATTTTTTTTCTTTTTTTCGTGAGATGAAATAAAAAAAATGACGCGTGTAATTTTTGCCTTTTGTTGCAATATTGCATGACAGTGTGTGAGTGTGTGTGTGTGTGTGTGTGTGTGTGTGTGTGTGTGTGTGTGTGTGTGTGTATTATTGCGTTATTTTTTACTAATCCTACATGATCAGGTTATTTTTTTATCTGAAATTCAATATCATTTTTGGGGGTTAGTTTTTGTGTGTAGGTTTCAATGTAGACTTATCTATCTATCAATCTATCTATCTATCTATCTATCTATCTATCTATCTATCTATCTATCTATCTATCTATCTATCTATCTATCTATCTATCTATCTATCTATCTAATCTTATCTGTCTGTGTCTGTCTGTCTCATCAAGGAGTAAAGAAACATCAAAGAAATGAAGGATGACGTAAACAGCATTGATGACGTAAACAGCATTGATGACGTAAACAGCATTGATGACGTAAACAGCATTGATGACGTAAACAGCATTGATGACGTAAACAGCATTGATGACATAAACAGCATTGATGACGTAAACATACAATAGGGCCTTAACTACCGCTTACAACCCATTAAGTTTATCGCTTGCATGTAATACCAGGGGAGACCTACACACACACACACACACACACACACACACACACAAGGTGACACCACATTTACGATACATTCTAAAAGGACTTTACAATTTCACTAAAAGTTCTCCATCTTTCAGAATATACATATGAATAAATCCCTTAGGACAAAAAATCATCGTAAGGTATTTTTTTTTTCACTTAAGGGATACATATGAATACTCTCACCCAGGATATACAGGGGTCGTAAGTTTGGCTTTACGTTCTGAGTATGCATGTGTATTATTCTCTAAAGGCATGATATTGTATGATTTTTCCCAAGGGCAGGATATACATATGAATAGTTTCACTTAGTGTATTTATTCAGAGTAAGATTTTTTTGCATTCTGGGTACAGTTGGAAATAATTTAACCTAACCTAACCTAGCCAAACCCAACCCCACCCCCCACCCCACCCCACCCCACCCCATTCCTCATACACGTGTGGCCTCGGGAATGAACGAATCATACACACATATACACAGGCTCTTAAGCTCATACAGGCCCACGTCTTGTATGGGGATTTTATACAACGCCATAAAGCTGGTTGTATGATTTATATCACTCTTAGAGGAACGAGGTGGTGAGCGCCATTACCCCGGGAGAGAGAGTGTTATGGCGTTAGTGGCCGACCATTCACAG